GGAAGGATATTGTGGAGGGATTTCTATCGGAGGGATCGAGGTATCAAATTTGAGGTTTGCTGATGACACCACTCTAATCAGCAAGTCCAAAGAGGAGCTGATGGATCTTAAAGACGACCAGTAAGATGAAAGGTCTACTACTAAACATCCAGAAAATAATGATCATGGTAATAGATAAAAACAGGGAGAATAAAGAAGATTTTGTTCTCGATGAAGTTGATAACATCATTTACCTGGGATCCCTTATTAACAACAATGGGACTAGCACACAAGATTTAACAAGGAGGATGTTACGTAGAGCAGTTCAGAAAATGGTCACGATCTGGAAGAGCCGATGTGTTAGCAGAGCCTTGAAGCTGCGTGTGCTCCGTTCCATAATATTTCCATTGGCATCATATGGATGCGAGGCCTTTGCAACCTTCAAGATGAAAAGAGCATCGATGCTTTTGAAACCTGGTGCTATCGACGGCTTTTATGTATATCGTGGATGGACCGTATTTCCAACGAGCAGGTGCTGGATAGAATTGGATCGGGCTTAGTCCGGAAGAGAGCAAGTCCTGAAAAAAACTTTAATTGTTCGGCCATTTGATGAAAAGACACGGGAGCCTTGAAACTTCTCTAATTCAAGGAACATCAATTGGGAAAAGAAGACGAGGTAGACCAGCAATATCCTGGTCTCATTCCATCAGGACCATGACAGGGTTAAGCCCTGTCTCTTATACACATCTAGATGTGTATAAGAGACAGATTTTATATATGTGTATATATATAGTAGTGTTCTAGTAGTAGTGTTCTACAGTCTACATGCCTACAATTTTTTGTTTCAACGACTCACATCTATCTGTAAACTGTTCTCGTAGCAAAATGTCAACTTGTCTGCATCTGCTAATTCTATCCATCTAGTCAAAACATCTTTCAAATTGCCGCAAATTAATGCCCACTTCCTCCAGCTTCAGGTCCTGTAAGATGTAGATGTCGAAACCCATTATGTCAACCGGAAAGGCTTCAATAGAGCAGTTTAAGTAATCTGTAATCATTTGCTTCGGCTGTAGATAACCTAAAATAAACTTAAAGAGATTTTCCTGTTAATAAAGAACTTAAATTTACTGTCAAATCACGTGGCATACCTTTCATATTGTTTTAAATAAGAATCCCGATCATTCTTACCTTCATTAAATGCTGTTAATTCAGGTCTACTTGCCTTAACTTTGGATGATCCAGTTGAGGGACAGGTAATATTCTGCCCGACTTAGGTTTGTTCTTTTCATCAGTGTTCTTGTATAGTATTATTTCCTAAACGAGTAGTCCCCAAAAATGTCACACAGCCTTTTAGAAGCTATCTGACAAAGGTCCGAACATACTCAAAAGACAAAATTTCACAACATAAA